AATTTTTCTAGAAAGTCTCATAAAAATGACCGTTGCTGTCTCTGAAAATACAGATATGTAATAAATCACAAGTCTTAGCTCTTGAATTGGACAGGTCAGCCTAAGAATCCCTGTCACTTACTTGCTGGATTACATTAGGCAAGCCGTCATCCTCTCTGATAATCAGTTTTCTCTCCTGTAACATGATTATAACAATGGTGCCTATCTCATGGGGTTGCTATAAGAAATGGTGAGCATAACTAATACAAATGAGGCCTTGTCATTTGCCCAGCACTAAACACTTTGTAGTGACATATTTAAATCTCGAAACAATCCTGTGAAGTATGTATTTTCCTTGTCCTGGTTTTAAAGATGGAGAAACTGGAGCACAGGGAAGTTAAGTCAGTTGCCTGAGGCCTAGTTCAGTAAGCCAGCTACTCCAGGGCTTCTCTGCTTCATAGACAAGGAGGTGACGCAGGGCAGCACGGAGCACAAGCCTAGCTCGAAGAATGCAGAAAGGCTAACTTTCATTGTCATCATTCATCTTCTTTATATTCTCAATAAAATTGTATAATTGTCTTCATTTAGGTCGTGCACATTTCTTGTTAAGGCTACTCATAAATATTTTATGCCCTTTTGTTCTGTTGTGAATGGGGTATCTCTTTTTCCTATTATGTTTTCTCTTTGGTTTTTTTGGAATGCAGCAAAAGCTTTTGACTTGTATACATTGTGTAGCGAAAAATACCTTAGCGGCACATTAGTACCATTTAAAATAACCCTCCAAACAGCAATTTTAAGTATGTATGCTCTTTTTTTCTTTTTTATTGTTTCTTCAAATCCAAACCGATTGGAGGTACTGAAAATGTATGCTCTTTTAATATCAAATGAAGTTAGTAGATAGATAATGAGGAAAAACTGGAGGTTAGAAATAACATTTTAGATTTTTTCACCCTGGTCAAAGAGGAATAAAGAGAAGAAAGAGCAGAAAAAATTAATACACTCATCTGAGAGTAGTACCCCAAATGCCACAACATATTACACCTCCCTCAGAAAAACTATGCTCAATCTTCTTTTTCATGTGATATCTTAATATTTACAGTTTAAATCAACTAAATAAAAATTTTAAGGTCTTCTCACCAATTGAAGAATTATGAGATAAGCAAATATTTCTTCCTATTTAGATGTTCATGTTTTATCGCTCGTGTTAATCTAATCAAGAAAACAGAATTATTTCTTTTTTTTTTTCCTTTCAATTTCATCACATTCTTGGAGTAGGAACTCTTTCTTTTGAAAACTTGATTTCTCCTAAACAGAAAGCCAAATTTTGTACTTATTGAGGGGGAAAAAAAACTCTGGCAATATATTCAAAGGTTTTGGCCTTTGTATAGTAAATATATTTGAAAGTGAATATGTCAACATTCTTGAGAACATTTTAGTGCCAGCCAAGATACGACTGTGTCAAAGAAACATAATGACTGCTCTGCTCTCAGTCGGGGAACAAATGGGAAAAGATGCTTCATTCAAAGTTTAAAGGTAGAATAACTTGAGGAGAGTTAATCAAAGGACTGTTTATGAAAGGTACAGAGGTATAGAACTACAGGGGATGGGGCAGCACACTAGGGCCAGTGTCAAATGAAAGTGTTGCTGCATCAGACCAAAAGGCAGGGGTGGAGAAGTAGGGGAAGGCCTGCAGACAAAGCCATGGTGTGAAGATCCCAAAGGACAATCAGGTCCAAACCCAACATGTGAAGCCTAATGTGCATTCAAAGGAGGCCCACTTACAGCACAAGAAAGTTTGGTGTTTCCTTACAGTCACTCCATCCGTGGCTCTTAACATTTAATTTCACTATACACAAGAAAACTAGTTAATGTATTATTTAAGATCTTGAGTTTGCAAACGATAAACACCTAAATAAAACTGGCGTAAACAAAAAAAAAAGAAAATGTATTTGATCACCATTAGGAAATTCAAGAGTGCAGCTGGCTTCATATGTTACTGGATTCGGAGGCTCAAACAATTTTAAGTGGAGAACACTTATTTCCCGTTTTCTTTCTCACGATGAACAGAACCTCGCACCTTCTCTCAGTGTGCTCATTTATTTCTCCCTAAGGTAGGAAGAGTGATCTGGGTCTGCAAGTGTGTTGGGGTAGAGGAACAACGGGGCGCTAAGATGTAGCAGAAATTCAGCTCACCAAACTGTGAGCCATGGCTTGGGAAGGAGTCATCCAGCTGGGAGTTTGGGAAAGAAACCGGCATCTGGGCACGGTTTAGCTCTTCTGGTGCCCTTCATTCTGTCTGATCAGCTTGTCTGTCTTATCGTCTGCCTTCCTTTGTGCTAAGCAGTCCTCAATGGTCCAAAGATTCCAGCCATCTCAGTGGCCAGTTATAAATTAGCTGAATTAAGGAGCAGAGTGTTAGAAAGTTCTTTTGGGCAGCAATCCAAAAGCCTTGAGCTCGTCAGCTTCTCAGTCATAAAACAATTTCTTTTCCAGTTACCTAGCCTGCATTTATCTCTAAATTTGTTATGAATTTAGGTAAAATAAGATATCATATTTGGACCCCTAAAAATCCCATCAATGGTATAATCAGAATACTTTTTTACTCCTTCCACCTGTCAAATGTTTTCCTAAACTTCATTTCCAAGCAGGTTCTCCTCATTTTGGGGTAAAGGTGGCAAAAGGAAGTTCTAGGTTTACACTGATCTTGAAGCTCACAATTTCTGTAAAAAGAGAGTGATGCATAATAACACTAGCAAATATCATGGGGAAATTTTTGAATTGGTCAGCTTGGGTGACATGTCTATCCTTGGACAAGCATGGAGTACATGAGTATGGATGACTGGGCTACTCTAGCTGCTGGAGAATGAGCCAGGCTCACCTGAGCCATATGGGATAAGAGTGAGGAAAGGGACTACACTTATGTGCAGACTGAGCACACAGTAACTGGCGTAGTCTCAGTAGATGGCTAAGGGAATTGAAATGCTATAATTTTTTTTCTTTATATCAGTGGTTATCAACCTTGGCCACACACTGGAATCATGTGAGAACACACTACCCTAGACCAATTAAATCAGGAAAGCTCTTGGGGATCAGCAGTTTTACAGTTATAAGGTGTTGCTGATGTACATGCATACATGCAAGGTCAGCAAACATTATCTTAAGTAGCACCACATTGATTAATCTGGCGCCAATAAAGGATGACACTGATCATGTTCCATCACTAGCTTTAACCTGTTATTCAAAGAAGGAAGTCTGATGGTAGAGGAGGATTCTGGGAAGACGGAAGTAACAGTAATGTAGCTTTTGAATCTTTCTATATTTTACATTAAAACAAACAGAACAGCTGGGTGCGGTGGCTCACGCCTGTAATCCAAGCACTTTGGAGGCCAAGGCGGGTGGATCACCTGAGGTCAGGAGTTCAAGACCAGCCTGACCAATATGGTGAAACCCCGTCTTTAAAATATATATATATATATATATATATATACACACACACACACACACACACATATGTGTACATATATACATTAAAAAAAACAACAACAGAACAATGAAATAGCAAACCCAAATTCCCATGAACAATATATGCAAACAAACTAGCTATATGGCAGCCTCCAAAATCACAAAATAAAAGCAGGTGGAGGCAAACCACAGACCGTGTCCATTAGGTGAATGAAGCATAAAGTCACTAGGTGTCTGAAAGATGTGTGACAAAGTGGCCCACAAAAGAGTGGACCTGAGAACAGCAGCTCCCTTGCAGGACAGGGCCCGCCCAGAGGAAAAACTGCAGGAAGTAGAATCTAATTGACCAGAGAGGGCCAATAAAAAACAAAGGAAAGAGGTCACATCTAAGTGTGGGAGTGAACAGTCATGAATTCACAAAATAGTCAACTTCAAAATATGGAATATCAAACACTAAACTTTTTAAAATGATTACCTCTGGCAGTAAAATTTCTAAAATTTTTCATTTTAAATGTATATACTTCTTGTGATTTAATACTTTTTTTCCCAGGAAGCATGTATTGCAGTAACATTGAGCATGTATTTGTAACATCTATGATATTATGTACATACGTATACACACACACACACGCACACACACACACACACACACACACACACACACAAACACATACACGATAGTAAGACACAGTATTCAAAAACATGGGTATGGGCCAGGCGTGGTGGCTCATGCTTGTAATTCCAGAACTTTGGGAGGCGAGGTGGGTGGATCACTTGAGGTCGGGAGTTCAAGACCAGCCTGGCCAATTTTGTGAAACCCCGTCTCTACTAAAAATATAAAAAAATTAGCCAGGTGTGGTTGCATGTACCTGTAATCCCAGCTACTCAGGAGGCTGAGACAGGAGAATCACTTGAACCCGGGAGGTGGAGGTCGCAGTGAGCCAAGATCATGCCATTGCACTCCAGCCTAGGCAACAAGAGTGAAACTCAGCTTCAAAAAAAAAAAAAAAAAAAATGGATATGAGCTAGCTTATATACCCAGAAGGCAGTGCAGGTTGGACCCATTTGGACATCACCAAAGTGAAACCCTACATATCTTGTGAACCCAAACCAGCTAGTGAAGAAGAAAAGCAGAATTTTTCAAGGAAGATTGTATGAAAAACAGAAGTTGCTTGTGTCTTAACCTTCACAGTATTGTCCAGACATTGTGAGGGCAATAGATAGTAATTATGTGAATGAATGAATGTAGAATGTCAAAGAAGTTTAAGTCTGTTTTCAAAAAAAATCAACCTGAAAAATGAAGTAAGCATCAGGAGAATTAAAAAAATAATAATTTTTGGCTGGGCGCGGTGGCTCACGCCTGTAATCCCAGCACTTTGGGAGGCCGAGGCGGGTGGATCACGAGGTCAAGAGATCGAGACCATCCTGGTCAACATGGTGAAACCCCGTCTCTANAGCCAAAACTACTTTCTTTTTTAAAAAATAGTTCCATTCACCTGCTGCTTAAGATTCTTACCTCCATTGTCAATCAGCCAGCGGTTCTGACTGCCCATAGGGTCTTTTTTCTTAATCACACCCACCAGGTCACCTTCCAAAAGTGAGACATCCAAGTCTTGGGCAGCATTAAAGTTCCGCTCTGCTTGGAAGAGTTTTTCAGGGGGATACCTGGCCAGGAGGGAGGCCCGGAGTTCTTCTGACTGTAGCATGTAACTTGGCTGAAAGGCAAGAGGAGATATATCAACAAAAATCCCTCAATGGCCATTACCCCAGCAGCCATATTTAATCCCAACATGCAGCCAGTCTCAGAAATGAGGCAGAAACAGTCAGTCACTGCCCCATCACCCCCATCATATGTGTTTGTGATGAAGCTAGCCCATGCGGCTAGGTAAAAATCATGAGCCCTTAGGCAATGTTTGATGCCTCTATAGTTAAGAAATTTTAACACACACCTATTCTTATATTTGTTTTCTTGTAACTTGTAATTAAAATGCCACTTTAAAAATATCAAAATATCTAAGTGACATTAGGTCTTGTATTTTGTTAGGGAAATTCTCAGTTAGGTTCATCTACCTTGAGTTCCCCATCTGTGAAAGCAAGTAAATCATAAGAAAAAATAAAGGTAATGATAAATTCAGGCTGGGTGCAGTGGCTCACACCTGTAATCCCAGCACACTTGACACCAGGAGTTCGAGACTAGTCTGGTAAGCATAGCAAAACCCTGTCTCTACTAAAAATAAAAAATTAGCCAGTCATGGTGATGCATGCCTGTAATCCCAGGTACTCCAAAGGCCGAGGCAGGAGAATCACTCCAACCCAGGAGGTGGAGGTTGTACTGAGCTGAGATGGCACCACTGCACTCCAACCTGGGTTACAGAGCAAGACTCTCTCAAAAAATAATAATTCAATTCTCCTTTTTAAAATAATATAAATTAATGTCCATGGGATCATATACAGGGCAAAAATATTGTAAGCAAAGACATATCAGCAGTCCTGTAGACTGTGAGCCCATATAATCTGGTGTGTGTTATCCTAATTTTTAAAATATAGAAGAACTGAGTTAAAGACTAACTCCACATAAAAAAGGGAGGCAGCCATTAACTGTTTAGCTGTATTACTTTTATGAATACCTGATCAAAAATAGGGAGGTCTGGCCGAATTAATATGCCCTTAAATCAGTTCCCTGAATTAATGAACTAATGAGTTAATACTCGGCGAATGCAGGAGTCCAAGACAGGTGAGAATGCAACCACTATTCTCCATCATTATGAAATACAGAAACCCCAATAGTGGGATCTGGGCCCGGGACCTGGCTGCAGGGTTCCCACTCTTCACCCCGAGGCTGGGCAGCTCCTCTCAGTTCCCTGCTCACCAGGCCCAGGAGTGGCTTTCGAGCAGACTGGCGGTCAATGGTTTTCCTCTCAAACGGTTTCTTGGTGGCTGGAAGAGACTCCGGGAAGAAGGTGAAAACCTGGAGTTGCTGCAGAACTCTGCTGTGCTCTTCGTGAAAGATGGCAATCAGGTTTCCTTCCCTGCCGGCCACTTTAAGTAACTGGAGTCCGTGGGAGAGCCGAGATAGAGAAAAGAAGAAACACAGATGAAATATCCCAGGACTGACAGTCTCATTAGAACCACTAGAAGCTGAAGCTCAGCTGCAGCTCACTCTGAGCTACCGACACAGTAGCCTGACACAAGACACAAGGCTCTCCGGGGCACTGCCTGCAGGGCCAGGTTGGCTGACTCTTCTGGAAACTGCCTAAGAGGGAAAGAGATGTTTCAGAAGCCACAGGCTTCATGGCACCATCAAGGGATCAAGAATTCCTGGCTGGGCACAGTGGCTTATCCTTATAACCCCAGCACTTTGGGAGGCCAAGGTGGGTGGATTACGAGGTCAGGAGATCAAGACCATCTTGGCCAACACAGTGAAACCCCATCACTACTAAAAATTAGCCAGGCATGGTGGCAGGCACCTGTAATCCCAGCTACTCAGGAGGCTGAGGCAGGAGAATTGCCTGAACCCAGGAGGCAGAGGTTGTGGTAAGCCAAGATCGCGCCATTGCACCCCAGCCTAGGTAACAAGAGCGAAACACCATCTCAAAAAAAAAATAATAATAATTTTTTTTAGAATTTTTAAATTTAGAATTTAAAATTATAATGCTGAAGTAACTCAGTATAATAGAGTTGCCTGAATAAGTAACTCTAAAATTGGGTCATGATCTTTTTACCTCTGTTTACAAACATGTGAGGCACTCCAAGAACATACATAATTTCTTATTATCCTCCATATGTGATTCCAGTTTTCTCTCTTCCTGAAAACAATTTCAGCCTGGGAAATCGAGGCTGCAGTGAATTGTGACTGTACCTCTGCACTCCAGCCTAAGTGACAGCAAGACCTTGTCTTAAAAAAAAAAAAAATTATAATGTAACTGAATTGAATTAATCCATTTAGGGATGCATTTCTTCCCAAGGGAAACTACAGAGTTATTCCTCATGAGTAGATTTCATTATTCCCACACCATCAGATCTGGGGTATCAGCTAACACGTTACTGCACTTATCACTGTGAATTACAAAGCCTTTGAAAAATCCAGTTACCCATTTCGATAAACAAAGACACGTACTTTTTAGGGCAAATAACCTGTTTTGTAGAAAAAGTTATTACATGAAACAGGCAGTTATTTTGAAATCCAAGCTCCATAACTTCTTATAAAATGAGATCAATCACTTCACATATATTAAGTAACACATCAAAAAGTGTAAATCAGGCCATGCCTTGTGGTTCATGCCTGTAATCCCAGCATTTTGGGAGACTGAGATGGGAGGATTGCTTGAGATCAGGAGTTTGAGACCATCCTGGGTAACACAGTATGATTCCATCTCTACAAAAAATAAAACAATTAGCCAAGTATGGTGGTGCACAGCTGTAGTCCCAGCTACTCTGGAGGCGGAAGTTGGAGGATTACAAGCAGAGTAGTTCCAGGTTACAGTGAGCTACAGGTGGAGCCCCAGTGGGTGCCAGAGTGAGACCTTGTGTCCAAAACAAACAAAAAAACCCAAAAAAGTGTAAAGAGCTTATAAGTGTAAAATGCCTGGCCCATAGCAAATGTTCAGTGTATTAGCATTTATCACTATAGGCATGATTTGTGTGGCTATTGTTGCAATCATTACTAAACATTACTTCTGAGTCTTTTGGTTAAATTGTTTTAGGAAGATTAAGAAAAGACCAATTGTTTGGGTTTTTCTTTTTTTTTTTTTCTTTTTTGAGTTGCCAATTATGTTACAAAGTGGATTGTAACTGTCAGGTGAGCACAGTGTGGTTCTTGTTAATTTTTAAAATTGTTTCACTATACAAGCTATTTATAATCAAACAGTACTTGGTACAAACAACTGTTTCATTGATGTTTAATAGTTTTAAATAGATGGATACTGCAAACAAAGTGAAATAATTTTGGTAATTCCAGAAACCAAAACCTGGGAGTGAGCATGAGTACTGAGTGCTGCGTAAAATTTACAACAAAACCTTTATCAATGAGGAGCAAGATAACTGAACCTTCTATATGCAGGATTCTAATGGACACCCTTTTGTATTATAGTGGATCTCACCAAGTATCTTCACACAAAATCGTGGTTTTGAGGTTCTGGACATAAAGTAGAAGAATCCATCATCTCAGAGTAAGCTTAGGTTTAGGCCGTAAAAAATGAAGGCTTGAAGAACAACAGCCTTAGAGAAAAGAAGACCATGAAGTAATCTTGTGCGTATATTAAAGAATCAGCAATATAATCATTATAACCTAAATGGATAGACTGAATGGCAGATCTATTTCACTGAATGGTAATATAAGGAAAGAAATCTGCATAGAAATAATTGTTCTTCTTGACACCTTCTTTTTCTTTTTATTAACCACACCTTTGGGAGTGATTTAGAGGTAGCTGAAACCAACTAGCCTGGGCTGAAGGATGTTTCTCAAGGCTGTCCTTCGTTTTGGTTAATGGGAAACCATATGGTTGCCATTTCCTTTCTGAGAACTGCTGAGTTAGCAGGGAAGGAAGTAGATGTTCAGCTGAGTTCTGGCCTGTGGGGGTAGGGAAGGGCTGAGCCACAGCTCCGAGAACCAGCTTCTGCTTTTGTGAGGTTTAGTTTTCTGTGTCTGATTGCTTTTTATAAAATGTCCATATAATTAGTGTAAACAGCTCTACCTAATCCCTTCTCTGGGGGCAAATGATTGCTGAGTGGCAAACTTTCTTTGCCCGAACTATGGGCCGTGACTCTTATTCTTAATTGGTTTCTACCCCAAAACCTAAAATGCAATAAAATAAAAAATAAAATAAAAAATCTTTTGAAGATCTTGTCAAACCTTTAAAAAAAAGAAAAAGAAAAAAAGAACTCTGCTTTAAATATTGCTTCTGTGAGAGTATTTTGCCTGTGTAAGAAAATACAGCTTTGAGGCCGGTCGCAGTGGCTCATGCCTGTAATCGCAGCACTTTGGGAGGCTGAGATAGGTGGATCACAGGGTCAGGAGATCAAGAGACCATCCTGTCCAACGCGGTGAAACCCCGTCTCTACTAAAAATACAAAAAATTAGCTTTACATGTTGGCATGTGCCTGTAGTCCCAGCCACTGGGGAGGTAGGAGAATCACTTGAACACGGGAGGCAGAGGTTGCAGTGGGTCGAGATCGCGCCACTGCACTCCAACCCGGGCGACAGAGCAAGGCCCCGTGTCAAAAAGAGAAAAGAAAAGAGAAAAAAAAGAAAAGAAAAGAAAAGAGAAAAGAAAAGACAGCTTTGAGTACAATCCAGTTGATGTGTTACGTCCTGCCCAATTACCATGGTAGAATCAGTTTCTGATCTGGATTGGGATTGAGGTTGGATGCTGGCACTGCCATTAACTGGCATGTTTCATCATTTGTTTTATTTGATGTTGAAATCATGCTTATATTTTTATTTTACACCACTTTCCAGTATGACATCAGTGTTTCTGGCACCTTGGGCTTTATTAGTTCATGAAATGGAAGCTTCTGTTTCCTTAGAAATGCCTTGACTCTCTTGCTAATGGGATAATTTTTGTGACTCTTTCTAGGGCTATAGTATCTATGCTGTTTATTTGCAAATATTGGGGAGCTGGTGGTTGATCTAAAACTACTCATAAAGAATGGGGAAAAAATTAAGGTTTCTGACACTTTTCCCAACATTTCTGTTACCTCCACCAAGAGTTAACTAGATGATTCTTTAATGCCCTACTTTATCCTAATGTTACTATTTTATTTCTTCAGTCTGTTTTGGACTCATAACTACACGACTGCAAGTTAAGTCCAAACATTACCTTTAGGCTGGAGAGCTCTGGGGTCAAGATTGACTAGACTTAAAACCCAGTTCGGCCATTCTCTAGCTATGTATGCTCTGGTGAGTTTCATCACCTGTAAAACGCGAATTAAAAAGGGAAAAATACTGAGTGTCTACTATTTGCTAGGCACGAGTTGGACAATTTATGATCCATTTAATCAATCCTCTGCGAGGCAGGGATCCCCATTTTATTATGTCCAAAAAATCGTAAGAAAAGCCAATTGTCCTAAAGGTCTCACAAGCAAATAGCCGGAGCCTAGGTTTGTCTCTAAAGCACATGCTCTTTTCACCACACGACATAAAGAAAACTTTATTGATTTTTCAGATTATAATGTTTCAAGCGTTTCCACTGCTGTTGAACAATTCCTTGTAGATGTACAAAAACAAGTGCAAAATAAAAGAGGAAAGCAAAATGGGGAAGGTGTGTGATCTGAGAGGGAGGGGGTAAGGAAAAATGGGAAGCCTGCAAAGGAATTTACGTGTCTATCTGCTTAGCATTACACAGTGCAAGGCCAGGTCCAACATTTGTGTTGCAGTCCTGGCTGCTTACGGGTTGCTGGATGACTTTCTGTAACTTACCTCATCTTTCTGGATTTCAACTCAAGTATGCCTGAAATGAGGCGGTTGAATTGATCTCCAAATTCCTTTCTGGTGCTAAACTTTCAGCCTCGTAGCCACTGACCCCTTCACCATCCCGGCCTGTTTTCCCTGGGTTCCGGACCAGCCGCCCTTGCCCGAACCCGATTCTTACTCATCTGCGCGCTAACGTACTCACAGGTTCTAAACTCCACCGTTCCCCGTGGCCGCGGGACTAAAGGACCCGGTAGGGGCTCAACTCAGAGCAAAAAAAGGCAAGAAAACTCTCAAGTTGGATACTGAGAGGCAGAAGACCGCAGCACGAAGGCGAGGCAGGACAGAACTGACGACGCGCGGCGGCGGTGGGAGTGGGCGGAGAGCGGGCGGGGGGAGAGGCGGGGCCGAGAGCGACGCGGGGGGCGGACGCCCGCGGCGACAGCCCGCGGAGAAGCAGGGAAGCTCCCCGGGCTGCTGCGGCAGGTTCCCGCCCCTTCGCTGCCCTTCCCCCGCAGCAGGCGGGCGTGGCGGCTGGTGTGCCGACGCAGCGTGACATCACAAGGGGCGGGCCGGGCCGGGGGTCTAGACGGCGCGCGGGCGCGTTCGTCAGTCGCTGTTTGGGACGCTGGGCGTGCGGGGTTCTGTCTCCGTTCCCGTTTCGCAGTCACAGCCAGTTCCTTCCCGGAGCCCGGGACGGGCTGGGCGCGCACCCGTGTGAGTGAGCGGGACTCAGGGCAGAAGTGTCCCCTCACTGCGTTTTTTTTCTTCCTTTTATCCAAAGAACGGGGCAGTTCGCACGCTTGCCTTCCTGTCGCCCGGTTGGGAGCGGGGTTGGTGTGCGGAGTGGTTCGCCTTTTTTTCTTTTGAACTTGTGAGCGCTTTTTTTTTTTTTT